CGACGCCTTTTCATCCCCAGCGAACCAGACTATCACTGCAATAGTACTAGTGATGGGTTTAGTGTTCAGTGTTTTGGGGCGGGTCTATTGTGCGCTAGTCCATACCGCATCGTGTCGTTGTTGGTGCCCTGAACTAACGACATCACTGCGAGAGGATCTCCTAGCCTGCCTAGGAATTCATCCTTTGGTATGGCTTACTGAACATTGTACTCGTGTAATCTATAGCCCAAGTTGACCACTTTAGACTTGATTGGGAATTTCTAATGTGTAACGCCTTTCAGAGCTTCGTTATATAAGTGATTTCATGTATTATTCAAATCCAAATCAATTTCATATCACATACAAGGGGAGATTTTATCACACCCAGTGGAAGTTATTTTGGCAGTATTTTAGAGAAGGAAGTGAGGATACATGGTTTGTTACGTAGTAACATAATAATATGTGTTTAATTACATAGTTTTCAGCAACCTTGAGGAAATTATTTCGGAAACGAACTGTACTTCTATTGTTTATGAATTTTAGTACATTATCGACAACGAAATTTTAAGGTTATGCTATATATTGTAGCACAATCGATATCCCCTACTGGTGCATGTTCCCAGTTAAGTTTGTTATTTCTGCAATAATGAGCCTATTGGACTCAATTTTCTCTCCTGGTTTCAGCTCCATTATTTGATTTGAGAGGGTTTTCTGTACAGTTCTATCTTATGAACGGCTGCGAAAAGGCGTCCTTTCATGGGGAAATGGTTGAATGTGACGGTAGGTGCAGTAGTTGACCCATGCACCGCACATTAGTTGCGTGCGTTGCTGTGCTGTGCTGTTGCTGTGCTGTACAGATTTAGTTTTTCGATTTTTGGAGCATAATTACTCATCATTATTCCACTGAGATACGATTTTCTCCAAAAAAAAGCTAAGCGGGTTTGAGGGTTCAGTGAGCGAGACTACGCCGATTCTTTGCCTGCGCTGGTCCTCTCAGCGAACACTTTTCTTTGAGGAACGCAGACGAGCAGAAAGGGGTATAGAAAAGTCTCGTCCGCGTTCCTACTCCGTGAGTCAATTCGCGCTGTAGTAACTCCAATCAGGTCAGATTTAGTGGTCTATCACAATTTTGGAAATATCAAACGCTGACAGTTAGACTGCTACGGCTTTTTAAGGAAGTTTTTGAATGGGAATGCGTTAGTAGTCGCAATCGTCCAACGGGGATCATCGTCTCCGGCAATCGGTCGTTTTAGTCCCGGAGTATGAAGGCAGCCTCACTACTTAGTGGCCTGCCTCAAATCAATTAACGTCGAAGAATTCATCATGATAGTGGGAAATGTTTGAGCAGTGTATCTTGTTGTGTTCCTGCTCGATTCTTGCTTTCATCGGCCCACCATGTGTTTATACATATTGTCAGTGCTTTTATTGCTTGTAGAACTTTCCTTCTTACCCTTGACTGCTCCAGTCGTCCTAAATCAAAACAGTAAAGGGTAAACAGTACCCGATTTTTGAGTAGTACTGAGTAGACGTTTGTGAGTCCTGTTATACTCAAATTCGGCAGTTTTGATGCGTGCTTTCAACTGAATGCCCATTGTTTTCTCTCGAAGTCTCTAAGCGACAGCAAGAGGCGCGAATACCCCTTGTGGTTGCATATTGATCGACTCAGTTCCTCCAAATCTCTTCTTTATTTTTATAACTTTTCTACTGTGGTCACTAGAGTTGTTACTATGCTGGTGGTTAAAGGTGTTTAGGATTCTTTTCCCAACCCTTGGCAGGAAAGAAGGTCCAATCTTGGTCAGCTAACTTCCATGGATGAAAAGTATTTCACGCTACAGTCGTTTCAGTTTTGCACAATTAGTCGCTTGATTGTCCTCTCTCTCCCCCCACCCCCCCCCCCACCACGATACAGCACCGATAGCTTTATTTTTGACCGTCTTTGCATAGCCGATGCGGCATTCATTTGTGCGGTGCGTTCGGTAGTATCTAATCTCGTGCGATCTCAGCGACCTGGATTCAGGTCGATAGTTCGCCACTTATTGTTTTTCTCGTATGCTTTGTTTTATTTTTCTTCCATTCACATCTCGTGTTCCTGTTCAATGAAGACAGCACGACATTTTCCCTTCTGTTGTTGTTTTCTCGGATCAGGTCGGTGGTGGGGGGGGGGCATTTTGCAGTTTCGCTGTCCAAAGCCGTGTTCGTTGATTTTTGAGAGCTGTCAGGTATTTTTTACACGACTTGGTAATTTCTTCTAAATTTGACTGGTATCACTTCTTGGCTTCATCTTCACAAATCTCTGCTTGATGGCTCGCCACTCCAGCGGGAAGCAGCGAAACTGTCAAACATCCCTTTATCACCCAACGCGCCGTTTTTGTTCTGCTATTTTTGTTACAGTTTCAAACTTGACGTCTTGTCTGTGTAAAGCTCAGGAGGGGGCTGTGAAACGAATGGGTTGATAGCAATGTTGAATGCTTCTTTTTCCTTTACAAAGCGAATTGTTTGTTCGAGTGGAACAGATGCATTAGATCGCGTATACCCGCTTAGGTTGGCTGCTGTTTTCCTGCTTCTGATTACGTTATCTCTTTCAAGATAAATTGTCAGAATGTAAAAGACAACAGTTTTGACATCTATAAGAAATCGACCTGTTTCGCTAATCGCAGGCAACGTTCTTATCAAAACTATGTGTAATTACAGTCATGGATCGTCTGCAAACGAGAGTGCGGTAGGTGCAAAGGAAGTGGCTAGGAGTGGGCAGGCTAGCAGACTGTTCCCACCAACGTGTAGAGGAACTTCAAATGGCATTCTTCGTCAGAACAAGAGCGCGCCCGGCTGCCGCCTCGCAATATGTGCATAGTCAGCAACGCCTAGTTGTTCTGCAGGATCATGATCATGTATACATTACACCATCATGGAGAAGAGGCGGGGGGGGGGGGGTGAATAGGTGAGTTATTTGCAGGTGGCTGGCTTATCAAGTGAGGCAGTTGTGGGGCCTTGTACCCAGATCGGTTTCTCCTTGGGCTAAACTAAGCTTCTTCCTACAGGACGCTAAGTGCTTTCGGATGCGAACGAAAAACATCAGGCTTATACTGCTGATCGATCTTTCTTTTTCTACCGGACGTGGCTTTTAAGCTTGAGGACCTTGATTTGGCCCCATGTTTTGACCATTTCTTCTACTTCAGAAGCTTGAAGGTTACTCAAAGCTCTTACTTTCAAAGGTGTTCTACTAAGCGCCTTCTTCCATTGCCGAGTTTCCGACATCATTTCAAAGACTCAATCAAACCGGTGATGAAAAATAGTAAAAGTAAGGCAAGTGCGTCTCACTGGGGCTCGTCGTGCCGGAATCAGTTTGTTATCTTTCATGTCGCATATCACTATAGCTAGTGCTCTGATACAAAGGCCGTTTGCTGATTTGATCTGATCCTGGCTTACCACAGAATGAGCACATATGCTTCGCTGCGGATGTAGGGGCGTGTCAGGCAGTATGAGTGTGCCTCTGTGCCAAACTAGTTGTCTGCCACATGTTGAGCTGGTATGCTACAGCAATTGCTACGAAACGACTGATACGAACGATATGATACAGTATTGTCGCTTGCTCGCTCAAAATGGTGGAGAACGGATTCGGTACCGCGCAAACTCATCACGCTCCTTCCTCCACAGCAAATCAGGCTATATGTTGTAGCCACATTGGTGTGTATTAATTAGCGTGCATTCCACTGACCTTGACGACACTGACGAGGGTTTTGATCGAAATCTGGTTCATAAAAATACGGGGATCGCGTAGTGAGTTCTGTTGTGAAGGAACAAACTAATTCGTTCTAGGAGAAAACCTATTCATAACTTGGTCAAACACTGGTTTTTCCGAATTTTCTTTGTGAAGGAATCAATCTCTGTAATGGAAGAAGTTGTGAAAGATTGTCGTGCTTTGTTTGTCTTGTGTATCTTACGCTAAAATGCCCCTTCTTACTGCAATTACGCTGTTTAGCCGAGCCCCTTATCCTTAGGCAAAGGTGAATGTGAGAA